ATGTTAAAACCCAAATATAAAGATAGTGGAACCAGTCTTCAAAATGCAAGGAAAGAAAATAATACTACTAATAATAACCTGTTAGAAAAAAGGAGGGGGGGAAAACACCAAAAGGTACGAAAGATCGAGGTCGTTTTCTCAAGTGAACGTGGACTTCTCTGCTGGAGGACACGATTTTTAAATCTCTTTACAGAGGAGCACTGCCGCGTCATTTTCCCAGAAGCAGGTGACCAAGGGTTTTCTGGGGAGGTCCCACCTCCGACCTTGGGGTTGGCAGCCCAGTTCTCCATCACGGGCCCGGCTTGGGCTCCCTTCTAAAGAGGTTCCCCTCATCAGGAGCTGAACAGTATTCCGAGAAAGGCATATTGAAATCCTAAGCCCTGAAACCAGGGAATGGGACCACGTTGGAAATCGGGCCTCTGGTGCTGTCAGTTAAATGGCCATGAAGTCAGGCTCGATGAAATCAGAATGCAGTCTGAAAGCTTACTGCAGGAGTGTTGATTCTGACTCATGGTAAGCCAGGGCTGCCCAGCGGAGGAGTGTGCTCCTTACGGCTTTCAATGGTTGGGGTGTTTTCCGCTAGAGATCACCATCTTTCTTCTGGGGCATTTGGGTTGCCTCTGGATAGATTTGAAATGTCGATTTTTGGTTAGCAGATGAACAAAGTAACCATGTGCACTGCACAAACCAAGACAGACAATAAAACCCTCATTACCAGCAAGTCAACTCTGTCTCACAGCAACTGTCCAAGACAGAGTGGAACTGTCCCTGTGGGATTTAAAGACTGAAGACCTTCTCCAGTGGAGCAGCTGATGGTTTTGAGCTGCTGACCTTGTGGTTAGCAGAGGAACACATAACCCAGTATGCCACCAGGGCTCGCTTAATACCACCCAAGCACCTGCAGCACCCAGGGACTCCTAATCCAATTTATTATCCTTTAACGATTAAACAGAGCAGTGGACCCCGGAATTTCCACACAGGTCCTCTCTCTTCTTAGATGCACTTCCTCATGTCTGGATAAAAAGAGGCGACGGAGAGAGAGGGAGGACAGCCAGGTGACAATGGAAACAGAGTGATACAACCAAAGTCAAGGAATGTCAAGGGCTACCAAAAACCACCACACAAGGAAAGCGGCAAGGAAGGAGCTTCACCCAGAGTCTCCCGAGAGAACATGTCCTGCCGATCCCGCAATGTTGAACTTCTAGCCTCCCAAAGGGCGCCCTGGTACCACTGTGGTGAAAGCACCTGGCTGCTAACTGAAAGGTTGGCGGTTCAAATTCATCCGTCACTCAGTCACTCAGTCACTTGGGCAGGTTTGACAACAAATGGGGGAATTGTGGGAAACAGAAGGATTTCTCCCAAGTTGTCTCCCCCAAATATAGGCTTAGCTGCTTGTGAATGACTATACACTTGGAGGTCATCAAGAATAGATCAGGGGTCATTCTCCCTAAGAGCTATCAGCCATCTAGACCAAGCAGACACCACTGTTTATCCCACAACAAGTAAGGCCCACTCCCTTCTTAAAGATAGTAGTTGTCTGTTTCCTTGTAGGAGACACCAGAGATGTCAAACGCGCCCAAGGATGACCAAGGTTAGGCTGCCATCATGAATCCACGGTCCGCCCATCTTGTCACATGTATACCCCTAGACCTTCCCATTCCAATGGGCACACCCCTAGCTCATCCCCTTCCTGTTACACTTATGCCTATCATAGATCCCCTGCCTACAATGTGTGTGCCTATTGTACTGCCCCTTCCTGTGACTTGTGGTTACCTGTAATCATGTCCCCCTAAAGAGATATAACGCTTGATTAGCAATAAAGAAGAGGCTCTCCCCGGTTCTCGGTCCCCGAGGCTCTCTCCTGCTCTCGTGGCTGGGCTCCCCCCACGAGCACCACCAAGCGGAGCTGAGGTGAGCATGCTACCATGAATTGTGTCTGACTCCATTACAGTGAACCCTCGTTTATCGCGGTTAATCGGTTCTAGACCCTACTGTGATAAATGAAATTCTGCGAAGTAGGATTCCTTATTTGTAAATCAAACATTTTCGTAGTTAGAGCATAGAGGACATGAAAAAACACCCTTTAGTCACCATTACACTCATATTACCCAATTTATTAAACGAAAAAGGGAAAATACAGTAAAACATTTTGGACGTTACAATGATCATTTATTATTTATTATATTATTTATGGCATCTAGTTTACAGTATTACATATTTCACATACAGTATTATTATGCATAGTTCTTACAAATACTGTAATCAATAGCCTATGAAATGGCTTAAGGGATGTATTCTACAGGTGGGTCGCCGTCTTTTCCCTCTGAAGGAGTGGGTGTAGGCAGTGGGTGCTGTTACGCAAAAACCGCAATAGAGTAAAGCCGCGGAAGTCGAAGCGCGAAGTGGCGAGGGTTCACTGTACTTGACTCTTCTACCTCTCATGCTCTCTATGACTTTACTATAATCTTTACTTATCGCTGTGCAAGTGTGCCTGCCAGACCTGTGACGATTAGTGGAAGAACCCTCCCCTTCACCCCACATGAAATGTAGCCTCTGAGCCTCCTTTTGATCCATTCCTTAAGCCAGTATTCTACTGTGGGATTCTCCACCAAAGCAAAATTGAGCTCCATGGTTGTGCAGTGATTCTGATCTTGGTGATCTCAAGTGTGACCAAGTGGAATTGCTCATAGCTTTTATGGCTGTAATCCTTATGAAAGCAAACCATTAGACCTTCCGCCTGTGGCACTCCAAAGTGAGTTCAAATTGTCACCATTTCGATTAGTAATCAAGCACAAACTGCTCTCCACATCCATTGGCCTTGGAATTAGACTTTAACATGTCATGTTGCTCTGTCACCGAACTGCCAGCGTGACTCTGAGAGTCTGGAATGGGGTCTGTTGCAAACTAGCAGAACCATCCACCTTCCCTGCCAGGACAATTGAAGAAACTGGAAGTTACTAGCACATCTTTTATCTTGGCCGCATCAAACAAAGCTAGGTTAGTGCCCACAGGATTACCTGTCTTTCTAAATTAGTCAGAAACTGCACTGCAAATCTCAGGACAACGGGGCCCTTCCCCCAGGAAGCAGATTTCTGTTCACCTGCCAAAATGTGGATTCATTCCACAACGCTGGAGCCCTGCATCCTGCCTTCTTGCTTGGTGATGTGCAGCTGTGCCCCAGGGACCATTCTCAGCCGCAGAGCCAAAGCCCCACAAAGAACAGTTTGGCATGAACTCCAGCTTAATGAGCGAGGAGATGCCACAAAGAACAACATCCTAGCCCAGAGAAGGAAGGCGGGAGGGAGAATTAAGGACCAGAGCCAAGTTATTAAAATGTAAGCCACCTTCAAACTTGAACTCAGAAAAACATGGTGGGGAAACACAAGTTTTCCTTTTACCGCAAGAGTCTCAATCTAGCCTCTATATTAAAATCATCAAAGGCCCTCACTGAAATTGCTGATGCCCGGGACAGTCACACAACATGAAGAATGGAATACAGCCGATGTACACTCTACGATATACAAACTTCTAAAAGTTTGCGGAAAGATGGATGAGGACAGAATTTTTCCATGAAGTTTTTGAAGCCTCCTGGGTTTTTTTAAAAGAAATATATATTTTGAATTGGCAAATATCATCTTAGATACATTTTTACCACAATGTTTCAAATTATTTTTTAATTGTCCCCATGACCACCAAACAAAGCTGATGTTAGAAGCCACTCCACGTTGACGGCATCAGGATCTCTGGAAGGGGGCCTATTTAAAAGAGCCCCCAAGGTGATTCTCATACACAAACAACAGCCGAAAGCCACTGGTGGTGGCCGGGGATGGCGAACGCTCCCTCCAAGGGCCATATCTTACAGACTAGGCTCTCTGAGCCCGCAGTCTCGGTCACAGCTACTCAACTCTGAACCAGTGTGGCTGTGTTTCAGAGCAGCATTACTTGTCATCACTAAAAGTTTAATTTCATATAACATCTCATGTGTCACAAAACTGTATTCTTGTTTCGATTTTTTTTTTCAGTCACTAAAAATACAAAAGCCATTCTTAGCTTGTAAATGATACAAGAACAGATGGCAGGCCAGATGAGGCCAGGTCCTAGTGTGCCCACCCCTGACGTACAAGACAAATTGGACACACTTCCCTTAATCTGTTCTCAAAAACAACACTTACTCAGGGTTACGGGTTGAATTGTATCCCCAGGAAGTTATGTTGAAGCCCTAAACGCCTGTACCTGTAAATATGACCTTGTTTGGAAATAGGGGTGGGGGGATGCTTTATGCTAATGAGGCAGAGTAGACTAGGTCTTAACATCAATTCTTTGTGAGTGATGTCTTATTAGAAGACACACACACACAGGTTAGGAACACCTACAAGCGAAGGAACACTACGGACTGTCAGCAGCTACTAGAAACAGACAGCAAAGAAAGGCCTTTCCTTCGAACCAACCCTGAATTCCAACATCTAGCCTCCTGAACTCTAAGAAGACAAATGTCTGTTCGTCGAAGCCGTCCCCGTGCAGTACTATTGTTACAGCAGTACTAGCAAACCAAGACACTCGGTGACTTAACAGATCCTGGAAAAGGTCCCCTTCAGAGCATGAGTACCTTCAGATTCAAGTTGGTCCAGGCCATAGGTGGCATCTGTATTGACACGACGAATGGATGGAAGGATGGTCCTTCTCTCAGAAGACACTTCAGAAGCAGGAAACGCTGGGGAAATGCTGACCATCTCCTCCATTTCTCCAGGGAGGGTGCCCGGTGAGTCTGAGACCGACGTGAACAGCTCTTCACTTGGTCCTGTGACTGCGTCCATTAGTTCTGCGGGTAAAAAAGAAGGCACGACTTGAGCTACATGATAAAAATACTGCTGCTGTGAGATGCCATCAAGTCAGTTCTGACCAGAGCGGCCTGATGCACAATAGAATGAAACCCTTGCAGTTCACAATTGTTCCTAAGACTGAGCCAGTGTTGCGACCACGGTGTCAGTCCACCTCCTTGAAGGCCTTCCTCTCCTTTGCGGCCCCTCTACCCTACCTAACATGACGTCCTTCTCCACAGACCAGTCTCTCCCAATAACATGTCTAAAGATTGCACGGTGAAGTCTCGCCATCCTTGCCGGATGTGCAATATCGGATCTGCACGATGTATGATATAGGATGTACTTTCACTTTGATGCAAGACATGGTTCATCTTATACACTCAGACAGTAAACCTGACACTGAGGCCCCTGCCTCTTCCCACCATTATCTACCTAAGCCCAAAACGCTCTCTTCCCAAAATAGCGCACTGCCTCAAATCAAGTTTTAAAATCTCTATCTTCTATTCATTCTTTTTACAACAACAAAGACTTTGCAAAGTTTTGTACAATACAGTTTTTTAAATAAATTTAACAAAATGTCAAAGACTGTTTTCAAAAAACCAAGTGGCTTTCTCAAAATCAACATAAGTAGTAAGAGTCTAGATCTCTGTCAGAAATGTGTTCAGTTTCAAGCAACCCAATTTCGCCCTGTGTGTCCTCAAGGCTGCAACCATAAACCACTGTAGTTTGCAGGTGCAGTTGATCATAGGAATCTCCTGGGCTAATTGTTAAGATGTAGATTCTCATGCTTTCCATACAGTCCAAATCAGCTGAAGGAGAGTCTTATTGGCAATAAAACCCGAGACAATGTATTTTTAAAGTGCCCAGAATATGGACCCACAGGTTCTCTCACAGTGCTGGGGGGAGTATGAATTGGTGCAACCACTTTAGAAAACATGCGGGCCTCACTTCCTAAAGTTGAACAAGAGTGATTCCTCTCTTACTGATATATACTTAGCTATCCAAGAGAAACGCCTAAGAAGAGCATGTAAAAAAATGCTCCCAAAAAAAACAAACAAACAAAAAAAAAGAATGCTCCCCACAGTCATATTCAAAATAGGCAAACCTGGAAATTACTCAAAATGAACACTGGACTAGATGAATACACTGCAACCGTTTCATATTAGAATATAATAGAGAAGTCAAAAATGTTCCTCAGATAATAATTATAATTATATCCTTTTACGAAGTTAAGCATAGCTATAATTTTAAGATGCATCCTCTTAAGAGTAAATACGCCCCAAAACCCACTGCCATCAAGTCAACGTGGACTCATAGTGACCTGAGAGGGTGGCTCCCCAGTTTCCAAGACTGTAACCCTTCACAGGAGCAGAGAGCCTCATCTTTCTCCCTCAGATGGGGCTGGTGGGTTTCAACCAGTGACCTTGCTGCTATCAGCCCAATGCTTAAGCCACTGCACCACCAGAGTGGAAGACTAAACATACCTGCAAGAAAACGAACCTGAAAAGGAATTCAAAAATAAAAGCTTGTGAATAGCAGCTAAGATGCAACTGTTGGTTTCCCATGTGCTGAGGAAAGAAGAATGATGAAAATCAAAGACACGTAAAACTAACTAGCCCACTGGACCATGCAAACTCAGTCTTCCTGACCCCGAGACCAGAAGAACTCGAGGGTGCCTGGCTACTCCTGCCAACTCCTCTAAAAAGGATCGCATTGGAGGGTCCTGGATAAAGTGAGAGAAAACTGTGGAACAAAACTCAAAACCATAAAAGAGGCCAGGCTTGCTGGTAGGACAGAGGCTGGTGGGAGCACAAGGCTTCAGCTCTACAACTGAACTCAACCCCATGGCTCGATTTTCAGCCCAGCAACAGACAGGTCTAAGGTAAATAGCACCGGCGAGGTACACACACCTGAGAATAATCAACCATTTGAGATCAAAGGGGCAGAATTTACCAAAGGACACCGTCAGAAGGTTAGGAAGCAGAGTCAGGAAACACAGGGAGGAAGTGTGGCAAGTGATGTTACATTGTTTCGTCCAATCACTGAGATGAAACAAAATGTGTAAGAATTGTTAGGTATAAAACTAGTGATCTAAGCCTTCAGCCAACTCCCAGTAAAATATTATGGGTTTTTATTTCTTTGTTTTCTTTTTAAAAGGAAGAAGAGGTAGTCAAGGAAATGATAAACACGTGATTCAGGATGATGGTTACCAAAGAGGAAGAGTTAAGGTGGGAAGGTTGATGAGATGGCATGTAGGCTACTGACAAGGTGCTACTTTTTGTGAAGGAGAGGAAGGATTGTGCAGTATTTATTACATTGTAAAAAAAACAACCAACCAACAACACAGTAAATAATTAAAAGCAATCCACACTTGGATTCATGAACACAGGCATGAGGTCCAAAAATAATAATATAGACATTCCTCACTATTCTTGGTCTCCATCAGTGCATATTTATCTGCCCACTAAAATTTATTGGTGTAGCCCTCAAATAAATACTTGTGACACTCCCTGTCACCCATGGCCATCTGCAGGTGCAGGGTAGTGAAAAATATGAGCCAACAGCACACAGTGGCTGCTGAGACCAATCAAAGACGGCTGGGTGTCACTAACACAGTCTTCAAGGGGACGACTTAAAAGAACGTAAATACCACAGATAATGAGACTCCACTGTACTATAAGGATTTCTTTTTTAATAACCAGGTGATTCTGATTGAGGATCTCTCGATCTTTATGTCGGAGCTTTTGGTGGCCTCCTGTAAAAGAACACTCTTTGGAAATAATCTTTCAAATCCTTAAAATACCCTAGAAAGCCCATGTGACTTAGGTGTTTTCTAGTGATGAATAAACCAAGACTTAGGGAAGTGAAGAAACTTGCTGGAGGCCACAGTGGGTCATGCTGGAATTCAAACCCAGGTCCTGCTATTTTCACCTCAATCCCACCCACTCCCCATCCCCCACCCCATTCAACTCCCAGTAGCCAGAACTGCACATTAGGAGAAAATTCTAAGGTCCGGCTGCACAGGACCCACTGATAAGCCATCCAGACGTTTTCACTTGGGAAATTACCTCTTGTCCTTTTAGACTATGCCACATATCTCCAAATGCTAACGCATCCCCCTATCTATCCTGTTCACCCTCCAGATGAGATGTGTGTGCAGCCCAGCCACTGACAGGACCATCTGCCTCTCATTCCAGTCTTTGTCAGATCACAGAAAAGACCCATCCCCAAAGCACGAGACCAAGACCCTCCTCACTGACCTTGCCCAGTGGGCGTGACTTGGAAAGACAGAGTGAAGGCAGTGGTTGAAACAACAGCGTCCAGGGGCTCCGACCTTCGTGAGAGCTGAGTAACACCAGGCCCACCTGACACGGATGACGGCGACTCTTCTTCCTCGGGCTCACCATTCTCTCTGGCAACCTCGAGGGCAGAAACCTGCTCCTGTGTCACCAATGGTAAAGTGGCTTCTGCTTCTTGACCAGCTGGTGCCATCTCTTGAGTAATAATGTCTTCAAAGGAAGAAAACAATATCTTAAAATAGACAAAATCTTGATGCCTTAAGAAAACACTACATCATTAATAAAACGGAGAAGAGGGGCTGGCGGACAGCTATTTCAGGGAACAGGAAGGGAAAGAGATCTCAGAATGAAATACCAGAAAATAAATGTGTTCACTGATGTTGCTTCTAGGGGTAGTGAATCAATGTCAGACACACATAGAAAAGTTAATACAAAAGACAAATAACATAAAATTCCAAACAAAATAGGCAGATCAATCAGACCTACCTTTCAGATGTATTTGAATAGCAATACATGATCAATGTGTTATGAAACACAACTAAGTTGCATGCAGAAATTCTCAGAAGCATCTATATTTAATCATTTTAACATCTGTATTTCTTAAGAATGAAGTGAGCATTTTACATAATAAGGATAATAATTATAATCGCTAATGTGTACTGAATTTCTGTTAGGTGCTACACAAGTTTCTATCACAGGCCTTGCTAAGGACATGGTGTGCATTATTTCATCCTCCAATATGCACTATTGGCAGTATGTATTAATATCATCCCATAGTAGCTGTGTACTGTCGTGATAAAGAATGCAGGCTAGTTGAGAATGAGCATTATTGAAAGCTTTACCCTGTCTCCAAACCTCATTGTTAATGCAAAGTAGTGTCCAGTCACCTAACTGCTTCATCTGTAGAAATCAGCAATCCATACATTTGGGTCTAAACAACTGTCTTATACACATATATGTTCTTTCTTTTGACAGTGTTTTGAATTCTATGTCATTGGCTAAATTAATGGTAAGATCAATAGAACTACCATATGGGGAAAATTTATAATGTCCTTCAACAAAATAATGGTGTCTTTAAAATAAACCATAGATAGATGAATGGATGTTGAACTCGAATTTAATCCTACTCGTAATCTAAGAACAGGGAATTCGTATGACGTGGCCCTGCTCAGTACCTACCACCACGAAGTGATCACTGAAGATGTGGATGCTATAACCAAGCATGCTAAAGAAGCAGATGGTGCCCAGCTAGCAGAAAGAATAGCATCTGGGGTCTTAAAGACTTGTCTTAAAATAAGCAGCCATCTAAGTGAAACACTGACTAAATCCACTGAGAAGAAACACACAAGCCTATGTGATCTAGGAATTACAAATAATAAAATCCAAACCTAGAGGGGGAAATGGTATTAGAGCTTAATTTCTGAACACCCAGATTACAGAAGGCTGTGGATGACAGTGAAAACCCAAAACCCATTCGCAGGTCCCCCATGGATCAAGCCTCTGGTGAATCTGCTCTACGGACCAGAGATAGAAAAGGCCTCATTATCAGACAAAGTCCACTGCAATGCAGATTGCTGCAGTTGTCGTTTGGTCAAAATGTGACTCTTTGCCATTGATCTCTCTCTTGATCCAATGTATCATTGCTCCAGCTCTTATGTGATTGAACTGTTGAAATGCATGATGTGGCAACTGTATGTTGGTGAAACTGTTAAAAAAATCAACAAACTTTTTTTTTTTAATGCAGGCTGTATGGGGGACCAGGAGCACAGTCCAAGAGGACACCAAGGTCAACTGGCATACCCCAGTTCACAAAGGCAATGTTCTATGCCCTCATCTGATGAACCGCAACCAGACTTAAAAGGTCATGAGCAGCCATCTAAGGTACTAATACTGGTCTCTCTTCCTCCAGAGGGGAAAAAGAATTATGAAAATCAAAAGGCATGTGGAAACAATTAGTCTAACGTTGTAATGGACCATGCAAACATTATTTTCTGTAACCCTGAGACCAGAAGAACTAGATAGTGCCCAACTTCCACTACCAACTGCTTCAAGAAGGATCACATTATAAAATCCAGGCTAGAGTAAAAGAAAAATGTAGAACATAACACAAAATCATAAAAGAGATCAAGCTTACTGGTCAGAGAGAGGCTGGCAAGCTCCCCAAAATTATGACTATTAACCTTTGTGTTAGAATCACCAACCATTTAAGGTCAGTAGAGCAGCTTTTACCCAAGAACGAGGTTCAGAAACTTAGGGGGAGGGGAAGAGTGCAGGTCCTAGAGTCAACATGCCTTAGTCTGAATTGTGGCAGCCATTTATTGGCTGTGTGACCTTAAGCAGTTTAAATCCAACCCGAAGGGCCTCAGACAAAAAAGTCCTGGCAATCCACTTCCACAAGATCAAAGCCATGGAAAACCCTAGGAAGCACAGATCTGCTCTGAAATACATGGGATTTCAACTCAACTGCAACTCAGGGGGATTACTGTTTGTTCAGGTACTACATAAAAACCAGAGATTTCCTTGTTCAATGAAAGATTTGTTATTCTACGGTTTGATGATGCCAGAAACACCTTAAGGTTTTACAGAAAACTGAAGTAACCTCTTACCCTGCCATATCTCATACATTCCTGGTCTTGGGGGCCAACTCTTCATGTCATTTAAAAGCCAACTTTTCTAGAAGCACCTGTGAAAATGTACAGGGCTGCAAAATACACCTCTGCGTCTTTCAAAAATGAGCTGAGTATGTAAAACCCTACCTTTCCTTTATGATTTTAATTTAATCTTAATAATGCTTTTAAATGCATTCTGAATTTGATAGTTTCATTCATTGAGATCCTTGGCTTAACAAACACATGACATTTATTCCTAAATAAGTTGGGATGACCACAGCACATCCCACTAAGTTCTTCCTTGCCATCCCATGATCTGAGCAACGACACATAATACAAGAAAAACATTATCCCACAGCAACAAATCCATATGGCCTGCCAGTTTACAACCATCACACGAGGAGAAAGCAGAGGGCAGGAACAAGCCAGCACACTGATCTCATCTATCCTGATCGGGTATTTCTGTCCTTGTCTCTAAATAAAATTCTCTGGGAGAAAACAAACTCAAGAACATATAGGTTACTATTATGTAATATATATATATATTTTTTTTTTTGGAAGCTAGATCAGGGATGTATTTTTACTACAATGTATAAATAAGTATTCTACATCGTTTTTTTATACCATCGAAACATACTCTTTTATCATTTACTGTCTGTTTATACATTTTCATAATAAAATGTTTGAAAAATTAGTTTGTCGTAGGGTTTTTCAGCCTCAGTACTATTGAAGTTGTGTTAAGATAAATTCTTTGGTGGAGGGCGGTGGTGGGGGTGGTGGGGATTCTATGCATTATAGAATGCTCAACAGCATTTCTGGGCCACTAGATGCCAGTAGCACCTCTCAGTTGTAACAACCAAAAAACGTCTCCAGACATTGTCAAATGTCCCCAGAAAGACCAAATTGTCCCCAGTTGAGAATCACTGATCAATATGCAAAGGTATACTTGGGTATCATTTCTACATAAAACACACATTTATTTGTGTACTTTTGCCTTTCATTGCAAAGGCAATGTTCCGTGTGACTTAGCTCTTCATGGTCACTTAAAAAACACAAAACCAAATTGAAGCATTCCGTAGTAAACAAAATGTATGTTTCTTTTGCGTTTGTTTACCTTTAAATGTGTTTCCCTGTGGGTGGTGAGCCTCAGACTCATATCCCGAGACAGGAACGGTGGTCTCTAAGGAAAACGCGGCATCCTTGGCTGCGGTGGTCCCCGTGAAGCCTTCGGCCTTCTGGACCAGACTCACAACGGACACGTCCACATCCTCCATCGGGCTTGTGGGAGTAAAAGAACTCTGATCTGTGACGCCAGCAGATCTCTCAGCCCCACGGGCTATTAGCAGGTCTGAACCCGTGGAGGTTTCCCCTTTGGGCAGCCCCAGAGCCCTGTCTGCAGCCCCTGTCAAAGGCTCAGTCCCAGCCATACTGTCACGGGTGACTTGTGCTGTCTGCGGTGTTTCCATTCTCACCTGAGCCTCTGTGTCATCTCCCAGGTGCGGGGCCCTGAGGTGACTAACACGCTCGAGTTTGGTGTCATCCCACTCATCACCTAAGTCAGAGGCCGCCGAAACAGCTGCGCGGACACTGGCTGTGACTTCTGGGGCTCCAGGCAGGCTGTCAGTTTCTGGCTCGATACTCTGAGCATCCTGGGAGGTTGCAAGCAAGTGCTTGGTGGCTGTAGCCTGGGTATCATCAGCTGGCCTCGTCTGTGAAGGCCACTCTCTGTCCGGTGCGAGACTTGGGGGCTCAGTGCCACGAAGAGAAGCCACCCAATGCTCTGTGGCTGCTTCAAAGCTTTCAGTCCTCAGACTGGTGGTTAAAATGGCATTACTATTTACATAGGATGATGGTGAAGGTCCCAAATTCACCTCTTCCTGACTTTCCGATGGAAATACTGGACCCTCCAAAGACTTCAGCCAACCCTGTGTTGCTTCTGTGGTCACGTGTACCATGGGCAGAATGTGGGTGCCGCCAACGGGTTCCCTTTTCTCATTGATGTTCAGAGCTGTAGGTGCACTGACTGCGACGGCTAGCATTGGCTTAGGAAGCCTGCTTTCAGGGGACGTTCTCTCTGGCTGGCTGGAACCAAGCAGTTCTTTCTCTTCTGTGGGGATGCCGGACTTGGTAGGAGTGTAATCACCAGGGTCATTAGGCTGCATAAGCTCTGCTCCTACAGGCTGGGTCCCTTCATTCGCAGGGGAGACTAGACTTAATGATGTGGCTGAGGGTCTTTCTGGCCCTACCATCGGATCCTCAGAGAGCACTGGCTGGGCTGTTTGTTTTGAACCTCTGAATTTACTTTCTAGGTCTTCTATTTCTGTCCTCTCCGACTGCCTTTTTTCCACCTGAATATGTGCTATCTCCCTTTCCGTTTTGGGAAAGGCTAGGCATTGTGTGGAAAAGTTGAGAATGAGGAGGCTCCAGAAAGCCAGACAAATGTGCAGGACAATTGGTCTGCTCATAGCGGAAGAGAAATGTGAACATATATTGGCCAACTTGACAATCCCAGTCATGGAGTCCTGCAGGAAAATAAAGCACATCAAACTGTCATACACGTAGTTATTTTCTTTCTTTGAAATCCATACTAAACCCGCTGCTGTTGAGTCATTTCTGATTCCTACAGACCCTACAAGAAGAGTGCTGTGGGTTAGGCATTGGGCTGCCGGTTCAAACCCCCCAACAGCTCTGCTCAAGAAAGATGAGGCTGCATGCTCCTCTAAAGATGTACAGTCTCAGAAACCCGATCTATACTGGGTCACTCTTGAGTCGGAAGAGACTCAGTGGCAGCAGGTTTCATTTTGGGAATCTTCACTGAAGCCACTGGCCACATCCTTCTCCCATGAAGCTCTTTTAGTTAGAAGGCAAATGCTTAGCCACTGTGCTGCCAGAGATCCCTTTTTTAGGAATGAAGCCCTTTAAATTAACTCATAAAATACAATAATCTCCTTGACTGCATGCTGAGAGAAGGTAGCTAAAAGAGGCTGTTTGTTCTATTTCTTCATACCTTTGAGACACGGATAACCCAATTCATTTTTCCCTGAAGAATTTTGCAGCTGATTTAACCTGAAGCTTCCTAGATAAGAATGCATGTAGTTCAAGTACTAAGTTCATTGGCTTACTTACAACACGTACTTGAAATAAACTACCCTTAAAGTCGTCATTGCAATATTCTCTCTTAATTCTTCTATCAATCACATAGCCAAATAACTACAGAAATAGTAAAATGGTCAGGATACAGAAAGTAAATCTTACCCATTCATTCCAAAACCCCAAGTCCTTTTAAAGATGTATCATTTATTAAATAAGCTACCTAATGCCAGTTAGGAGTGTTAAAAAATACATAAATGAATTCCAATTAAAACACTTCCAAGTGTTTAACTCAGAAGTATTTCTTATTATTTGCACAAACTATTAAAAATGAAGGTAATATTTCCACCTTTCCAAAAATATTAATAACTGTACTGGGGGGGGAATAAAAAAAGCTTTTGAAAGAACCAAAACTACATTTACTGGATAAACATGATTGTACAATTATGGCTTTTTATTTTTTTAAGTACTCACTCATTGTAATTGCCTTAGAACTTAAATTCTAAAGTGTTTGGCTTGTAGAGGGTCATAGCGTACAGTGGGAACCCTAACCCCATGTTGAGTCTTGACATAGTTCAAACGCCATTTGAGTTCTCAGTTACTTCCTTGATGCTTGCTGACCATTGAACAGCAAGGTGACTAAGCTTAAGGAGCCTTAGTGGAACAACGGGTTTAGTATTTGGCTGCTAACCACAAGGTTAACGGCTCAAATCCATCAGCTGCTGACAGGGGAAAGGTGAGGCTGTCTGCTCCTGTAACAATTTACAGTCAGAATCGATTCACAGGCAGTGAGTTTGGGTTTGGTTTACGGCTGTACTTAACGCAAGTTCAAGGCATGCCCAGGAAGAGGCTACTTGCCCCCAGAAAGAATATGGTTAAAATAGATTTAACTAATATGTAGAAAGTGCTCACACAAAGAACTAGGTACTTCTCTGGACATTTACCCAAAATAGCCAATCAGAAGCATATTACCTAAACAAAGTTTAAGGCTGGAGGTCCTGATATTGTTTTGTAGCCACCTGGTGGCCATGACTTAAGGATGCATAATCATGAGTCATGCCTTGACCAGCAAGTAGGTGGTGAGACCACAGAACCAATCCAGTAGCCTGTGGTAACCATATCCCAACCATGGTCCTTTGCCCATTTCTGTAGTCTCGCCTGCAAGAGCGATGAACTGTCTTGCCATCAATCATGATCTTGTGATGATGACCTTTGTCCTCTCTATCATATATCATGAACACTGTGATGGTGAGGCCATGATGCTTTAGTCTGGCAACTATGTAAGATCATAATTATGTAAGGATATAATCATCCCCCATGCTGCGGTCTGGTGTGACCAGCCCTAATATAATGAAAGGTGATTAGGATGGGATGCAAAGGGAGTCTCTTCTTGGCTGTGGTCTGCATCAAATATGAGTTTATATCAAACATCCGTCCAGGCAAAACTCTTCGGCTTTCTCCTTGCAACTGGCTCTCGTCACCGACCTCTGGTTCTTGGGCCCTGGGCTAGTGGCCTCTCATAAGGCCTGCCAACATTGGGATTTGCTGCCCTCTGTGAACCCAACAGCAAGCTGTCTGACCTGCAGATCTTGGGTTCTTCGGCCTCTGCAGCCCTGTGAGTCAGGGGAAGCCACCAATCTGGTGTCTGACCCACAGACTTGAGACTTCACGGCCTCTGCAAGCATGCGAGCTATTTCTTTTATGTAGCTCACTAGTGATCTATATATATCACTGGGTTTGCTTCTCCAGAAAATCCAGCCATGGGCGTCAGCTGGCTCCTCTGTATTGTCTGCATGTTGATGGTTTCCCTCATTCAGCTGATTACACTTGTTTTGTCTTTGTCCTCATTAAGGTTTACCAAAAGGGCCTATATAGAATATATCTGAATCTGGGGTCTTTTTCCCCTAGCACACAACTAAGACTATATTAAAACTACTAATTTCACATCAAAGCTATGATTTTTTTTATCTTTTTTTTTAAAAAAACTACTTTTCTGTGTCACACTTTTTCTAGTTCCCAATCTCAGAAATTCCTTTAGATGTTCCAAGTTTTCTGGATAATTAAAGCTAGAAATTAAAATTCTACTCCCAAAAAACTCTTATGTCAGTTACTTGATATGGATCTTCTAGAATTTCTCTTACTCCCACCAAACAAGGTGGGACCAAACAGATTGGGTATATTTCCTCTTTTCTTAATGAGCCTGGGTAAAAGAAGGTAGGACATCATACTGATAGGATTATATGATTCAGTTGTGAGTTATTGTTAACAGAGCTCATTGTGATTGTAAAAATATAGCACTCTAACAGGAGGGTTGGTTGGTTTTGCCCTCCTGGGAAGTATCAGATGATCCATCTTTGACATAGGAATGAGGATATCGCTACCACTAAGAAAGAAGAAGCAAGAGGGGAACACATCTGTTGTATCCCAAGATCTCTGCATGCTGAGCCTCCTCAATCCAAGGGTCAGCGAGCTGTGACCCCAGAGGAGTGATAGAGCAGCAACAGCAGCAGCAGAACCAAGAACCAGAGCAGAGACAGAGCATGAGATTCTCAGCCCAGGAAGTGAGTAAGGCTGATTGTCTTGCAGAGAAGGATACCTCCAGGTACTTAAATCAGAGGGACTAGCTTCACCAAAACAGAGCTAGAAGCAAGTACCTTCAAGCTAAAGTTTACTTAAGATCAAGTGCAGTGCCTTTTGGGTGTTTATCAGATTGTTAAAAGAGCTTTGTACAATTACCTGAGCAGGGCAGAGACCAAGAGGTCAAGAACCAGAGTTAGGTGAGCCTGTGGGTATGGCTGAGAATAGGCTGTCTTTACCCAAATATGGTATCCTTAGTGTTTCTGATACTGAATTATAATTTCCTTAATAAACCTCATAATCATGAGTATGGTCTGTGAATTCTGTGTGATCTTTGTACTGTAGAACCCAGCAATGATTGATGGGATCAAATATCAGGGATCAAAGAAGAAAAAGTCCTATCACTGCGAATGAGGGGGTGTGCGAAGTGGAGACCCAAAACCCATCTGTAAGCAACTGGACATCCCCTTACAGAAGAGTCGCCAGGAGGAGATGAGCCAGTCAGGGTGCAGTATAGCAATGATGAAACATACAACTTTCCTCTAGTTCTTTAATACTTCCTGCCCCACTATCATGACCCCCAATTCTACCTTACAAATCCAGCTAGACCAGAGGATGTACACTGGTACAGGTAAGAGCTGGAAACACAGGAAATCCAGGACAGATAAAACCCCTCAGGACCAATAATGAGAGTAGAGGTACCAGGAGGGGAAGGGGAAGATGGAGTAGAAAGGGGGAACCAATCACAAGGATGTACATATAGCCCCCTCCCTGGGGGATGGACAATAGAAAAAAGGGTGAAGGGAGACTTCAGACAGTGTAAGACATGACAAATAATAATAATTCATAAATTATCAAGGGTTCATGAGGGAGGGGAGGCGGGAAGGGAGGAGAAAAAATGATACCAAGGGTTCAAGTAGAAAGCAAATGTTTTGAGAATGATGATGGCAACAAATGTACAAATGTGCTTGACACAATGGATGGATAGGTGGATTGTGATAAGAGTTGTACGAGCCCCCAATAAAATGATTTTTAAAAGAAAAAAAAAGTACTGAGCAAAGAAGCAGAGTGCCTTGGGAGGAATAACTGGTGTCACAATTGGTGAAGAAGGAAAGAGGGTAGAAGCATGTCTTACCTCTGCCTCATAGGATCAGCCTGGGCTGATACGGAGTTTGATTCTTTTCACCTTGTGAAGTTACAGCAGATGCTGCCCCCATGCCATTTTCATACCTTGTCTTTGTAAAAGGTCTACTTTCTTTCTTTCATGTCTAAACATTAAACCATCAAAGTGGAATCTGTGGTGTGCACATATAAAATACAGCAATTCACTAAACTTCCATGGGTTAGTCCATTTAGACAGAGAAAACCGTAAGTCCTTAGTGCATGGCCTAGATGCCTGGTAATGAAAGAAAACTGAATTTGTTTGCATGAGAAAATGCCTGGGCTTTACCTCAAACTCACCTCTCACCCTTGGACTTATGGCTGAAACTCGCTGGTGAGGGAAGAAGAGATAACTACTAGCCCAAGAGCATAGAACCGGACTTTGAAGCAGACATTGGACTTGGGTTCAAATCTCTTGCCTTGAAAGTGCCCAATGAATGGTGGCCCAGAACTGTCATACACTTACTATGTTAATGCCCTCCTTGCTTCATTATGACATGCATTAATCTGGTAAGTTTGGGCTCTGCTGCTGGGAAAGAATATTATTGGAAGATGTGCCCTGTCACCAACCCCACTGTTTGTGTAGTGTCGTCACTAAAGGGTTTATCTGTACAAGTCAGCAATTCATGCATGATAGTTCACAGCTGGCCTAGGCTCCTGTAATTCCCCTTTCTCAACAGTGTTTTAAACACTA